CTGTCCAAAAGTGTCACTCAGCCCTAAGTCGAGCAGCAAGTGCATTCACGCACACATACACAAAACACGCTCACAAATGCCAACTCCTAAAACCCTCATAAAGAGAAGAGGGTGGTGGTGGGACTTCTGCTACAAATTAACTGCTGCAAGTCAATGAGGCACGTCTGTGACATTACATAGTTTCTGTAACATTTCTTCATTTTTTTTCTCCCCTCCAGTGCTCCATATTGACTTTAATATATGAATAATGTTTCAATATTTTGGAAAACTCCCTTTCTGTTTGTTGTCCTTGTTGAGAGTTAGGTGACAAAAACAACACCGCTCTCATATCTGCCAGTTAACCACACAGCTAAAGCCAAGAGACGAGTTTGTAGCCCATAAGGACTGTAAGCAGGGAGAAACAACTAAAATGTGAAACAACAAGCTTAAACACACATAATAAAACAAGACAGCATGGTCAGTGGCAAGTTTTAGAGGTGTAGATGGAAAAAAACAGCAATGTAAACTATAGATAAATAAACAAAGCTAGCAGATAACTGAACCATACTGCACTGTTACCATAGACTGTATACAAAAAATGCATGTAGCCACAATGACCCATTGATTTGTGGAATACTATTTTGAAGTCTCAAGTTTGAAATTTGGCCATCATTATCTTTTGAAACCAGATGTAACAAGTAAGGAATGAATCTGACTGAGAACTCAAGGACACTACACACAGGCAGTCCTTCCTTAACACATTGCCTAATTTATTGTCTATTTTCCTCTTAACAGAAAAGTAATTTCCTGAGAAACACAGTTCTGTATTTAAAAAATTTGAAGCAAGCAACTCAGATCATAAACTCATTCACTGAGGTAATATATATCAAGTAAGAAGTAGTGTCATTTTCTCATAGACTTCTGTACAATTCTTCTTCTTTTTGCAACCAGAAGGGTCGCCCCCCGCTGGTCAGGAGAAACAATGCAGGTTCTAGTTCAGACGAGGTCGCTTCGTCCATCATTTGTATGCAGTCTATGATCATTACAAGGACCTTGGGGCCAGTTTACCTCATTAGAATGTAGCTATTATAATGTTCTGAATTACACCTGTACTTTTTGTGCTAATAACTGAAGTGAAAAATAAGGTATAGCTTAATATTTAATAGACATGGTGTCAATCTTGTAAATTAATTCTACAAGAAAGCAAATAAGCTTATTTCCCCAAATGTTAGACTATAGTTTAATAATGACATTATTCATGAATTATGCTAAATGACAAGAATTGCAATAACAAGATAGCAAAACAGTGAGGCAAACCACTTAGCTTAGCTTAGAGAGAAGACTGGAAGCAGAATGGTAACAACACCCACCTGTAAGGATCTCTAAAGTTCACTCATTACAGTCTTTATCTTGTTTGTCACATTTGTACAACAACTGAAGAACAAGTAAGTCAAAAAACTGACTTTTAGACCAATTAAACAACAGCAGCATTTGAGCACAATAGCTACTGTGCAGCACTATTTGTGCTATGCTAAGCTAACTTTCTGTTAGCTGACTGCCTTTAAAAAAAAAACACACACACACACACACACACACACACACACACACACACACACACACACACAGCTGTGTAATATCTTGTAGATCCACTCATGCCACCAAAAAGGTTCAGACCCTTTGGGGGTATAAATGTCCTGAGGTGCCTTTCACTGGGATGTTGGTAGTGGATCCTTTGGGTTCTGTGGGTTCAGACATAAGACCTTTTTGGATTGTTTTTGTTCCAGTGCATCCTGTAAATGCTCGATCAGATTGGGATCTAGGGAGTTTGTAGACTGGGTCAGTGTCTTGGCCTCTTTGTCTGGTTCTTAAGCAGTTTTTGGAATGGGACACACAGTCCTGCTGTGTGGGGTCACTGCCATCTGGGAGTACCACTGCAAACCAGCAGGGGGGTGTGCTTGGACTGTAACAATGTTTAGTTGTTAGTACATGTCAAAGCAACAGCCACAGCAGAACATTGAATTTTCAGTGGTTTTAAAGTTGTGGCCAGGCAATGTAGATCTTCTCATCTAATTTTCAGCAAGAAAGCCACTAAGCATGTCTCTTAAAATGCTTGCAATTTATCTAAAAGATTTCTAAGATACTTTTGAGCTCAGACATCTAGCTCTCTGTGGTGGAGGGTGTATATTTGTGCAAACTGTCTAAACACCACTTAGATGTTCTGACATATTAAGTTAGTCAGCCACAGCATTGACAGCCTTGGTTCAGTTGGGGTGTTATAAACAATTTCTTTTTATTTCGATCGATCTAAATCTAATCTGGTGCCAAATAGAAGGAATCAAACCAGGAGTCTGAGCGGGCTCTTCCGTGCACTGCTGTGATTATTCCACCACTTACCGAAGGCCTGCATGTCTGTCTCCACTCCTCGCCCTGCTCCATGTACGCACATATATACAAAACTCGTACATCAAAGCCCTGCACTCATTTCCACGCGAAAGATAAACACAGGGAGCCCTGCAGATGGTTAGCACTCAGATAGAGGTTTCTCTGTGTGTTCATGTTTGCATGAGTGTTTATGAGGGGATCTCCTGAAGCATGTTGGAAAAACAGAAGTATCTGTACATTTCTTTCCATCCCACACCTCTGGAGTTGACCAGAGAGCAGGAGGTTCTTTAACGCTTCACAGGAGATATTATTCACACGTGTAGCAGAGTATGTGAGCAGAGTTGGCCAGCTTTATTGGTGGCTCTTTAAAGGGATATCCATGACTCTCTGGAAGCTTCTCCACATTATTCCAGGGCAACAGCAGGTTAATGGAAGCCAGGTGGAGCCTCCCTGCATTTCCTCCGACCAGGATCGCTTGATTGACAGCGAGCTGCGGCGATGAATCGGAGCGCAGCTACCCAGAATCAGGGTCGGGATGGAAACATGGCAATTCTCGAGCAACAGCTGCTTTTCTTGGCCACAACAGAGACAGGCTTTCCGTTCACCTGAGACTACTCAGTACGTGTGGACATGTGCACTGAAGTGTGTCTGGCTTTTCTCTTTGCTTGTTTGCGGTTAACTGTGTCTAACGGCTAAATAGTGTTGCAAGTCAACCAATTCTTCCAAATTTTGAGTCTGTTTTTTTTAAAGGGAACATGCTTCAGAAAATAAGTGGAGATGAATAGAAAGATTGCTTCATAGATGGTGGTCTGTTCAGTCTCACCTGTTCTTTCTGAATGGTGTCATTTCAGAAAATATCCTCAAAAATATTTAACATTTTTGATGAAAGTCACTTTTTTTTTGCTTCACCACCTGAGAATCACTTTTAGTTTCATATAGCTAGTAGCTTATGATGGCTAACATGGAATGATTATTGCTCATATTACTTACTTTATCAGTCTGAATTTAACATTAAATTATTCCTAACACTACGTTGATTGCTGAACATGATAAAACAATGTGGCAGTTACACAAAATCAGCAAACTGACTAAGCAATGTCAGCTACATCAATTTATCTCAGCAACTACAGTTTCTGAGTGAACTGACAAAAACACTGTTTTATCAATTAATATTCTACTTTTGATTTGTCAGCGGTGGATAATTAGATACGGTTTTTTCTTTCTTTCTTTTTTTTTTTTTTTTTAAAAAGTGTGTGTTTCGTTTTATTTTTGAGAATTTTATTTAAGTGCTACCACAAGTTATGTGACATTAATTTTTCCAATTACAATTATTGTAAAGCTCCAAGGGGTCGATTTTTGTGGTTTATTAATGATGGTGATTTGACAAACATTGCTGCTCTCTATGTCAATAAGGTACATGGTGAGTGAGGGTGGGAAGGAGGCAAAGAGACGGATAATAAACTAAATACAAAATGCATAGTACTGATTGTAATTTTTTCAGTTGTTTGTCAGTCTGACCAATGCATTGACATTTATAGATACATTTATCTCCTTTATTTGTGATCTGGTCATTTGGAATGCCACTCCTGTGTATTTTTGTTTAAATATCAATAAGACATTGATCACAAAAAACAAAAATTATGCTGGTCGGTTTCATTTATGATTGAGAGAAAGCGTTGCTCTTAATGTTATTGTTGTCTTGGAAAAGTGTCTTAGTAGCTGGCTCTCTGTGTTAGATTTTATCTATTTGTGTTTGAGATGCAAATTTTTGACTAATATTAGACAATACAAGGTCATATTTCCTGGGATTTACACAGACCGAGTATGTACAGTGTTATTTACAGCAGAAATGATGCAAGAAGTTTTAATGCTACACCAAACATTTCTGTAAAAGGGCCAACTTTTGCCAACGATCACTGCACATTGTGGATCTTTCCTTATCATAAATAAGAAGATAAAAACAGCAAAACTATTTGTAAAATTTGATAAGATATATCAGTACTGATGGCCCTGTTGAAATCAGACACAAATAACATTTATCAGACCTGTTCCTCCAACCATTATGACACTGATACTGTGCATGTTTTTATTTATGAAAATGCAAAATTCTTAATCGACCACATCCTGCACCTCCACAGTATTGTGTTTCATCATCGAGGAGATCAGTATGCACAGCAGCAACACTATGTTTTTATATAAAAATACAGATTACAAGGGGACTGTGTAAAAAAAGACGGTCTGTACTTCCAGTGCAAACACAAGTTCTTAACTTTTCTGTACTTGTTTTTGTGAGAGCAGTTCTAATTAGACTTTTCTGAATTTATTATTATACAGAACATGAATAGTTCTCCGGCACTCGAAAGAAGTCCGCAAAGATCCACATACCATAGATCTATGGGAATGCCCGCCAATGAAACAACTCGTATTTTCACCTCATAATTCATCTTGTTTGTCTTTTCTTGTCACAAATCATTTTTAGGATCATCGTTTTAGATCCCTTTGCGTATCAGGTTCTACTTATGCAACCCTAATTTAGGTGTCTGAGTCCTCAAACGCAATGCGCAGTGTGCTCTTTCATCTCAGGGTTTGTGATGTTAACGGCTTGGCAAAAGAACATGACACCCAGGGTGACACAGGGATTACTTGTTCTATATTTAGTCTTTATGTACATGAATATTGGCAGGACAGCTCTGTACATGTGACACACGCACACACAGCGATACAGTGATAATAACACAGATCTCCAGCACAGAACACATTTACAAGATGGGCTCTAGAGCAAACACTGGCTGAGATACGTAAGGGAATGTCTGAACTACGACAACTTCCTCGTAAAACTGGAATCTTCTTGTAACAGTTATTATTGTCATCAATAAAAACAGACGATCGAAAAAGAGAGACAAAAAGTATAAAATAATTTAAATTTCCTCCTAAAACGCGTGGTGAATATGCAGTGAGAGATCTATACAAAGCGGGCAGCTACCGCGTCCCCTACAGTCAACGTGATTTGTAACTGTAGGACGAGACAAATATGACAGACAAAAGCAAGTGTCATGCAGCAACAAAGAAACATACGAGATGAAAGATGATCTTGTTTGAAGTTCTGCCTCCCCAGTGGCAACACGATGTCAAGATGACAAGCCTGGTAACAAAGCACCGCACGCTATGGGCCACCCAGACGTGCCACGATGAAATGTAAACATAAATATACAGGTTGATATCTCTCTCTACAAACAGTTCAGTCACTGCCACAGGCGCATCAGCTGTGTGAGTAGTCAGTCTGTATACACTCCTTAGTAGAATATCACTTAGAGTTAAATAAACTTATTTAATATATATATTTATAATAGATTTATTCTTTGCAGAGTCATTTAGCAGTATTTCCTTGTTTTCACCAGTTTGCTCTGGTATTTCACTGAGTGACCACTGTGTCCCACCACGTAAACGTCCAGCAGGTAGGTCTTGCCTGGCTCCAGACCTGTGATGGTCTCTGTGGTCACAGCTTTCTGCAGGTTCGGGCTGTGGAAGTACTTGCACAGGACTTTTTCTGACTTCCTGCGGGTTTCTGGCCCAGCGCACTGATTTTGTTCCCGGCGTCGCTGCTCCTCGCCATAATTATCGGCCACCTCCTTGCGGTAGATGCAGTATTTGTTGCGGTCCTGCGTGCCCAGCCAGGCCACGGTGACAGAGGAACAGGTGCGCAGCTTGTCGAAGGCCTTGATGCGGGTGTCCTCCGGAAGCGAAGGGAAAGGCTGTTTGCTGCTGGGTCGTGTGGTGGCGAGCACCTTCAGAGTGGAGGCACCTTTCCTGCTGCCTCGCAAGCGGATCAGGTACTTGGCTTTTGGCTTTCCCCGCAGCTGGAACTGCCGTACGCCCTCCACATTTTGAGAGAGCAGCAACTTGCCATCGCGCCTCACCTGCACCTGAACGGCGTCCAGACATGTGTGGACAAACAGAGTGACCCTCTGGTGGGAAGACACAGGGGCGAAGCGTAGAAACTTGCTACCTTTTCTCTTGATGAAAACATCCGATACTTTGCCGTCCTTCAGCTCCACCGTCTTCTGACGAGCTTCCTCTTTAGTGCGGGCGAAGGTTCCTACGTAGGCCGTGCTGGTGTTGGTGGCAGAATTCACAGCAAACACATCAAAGTAATACTGTGTGTCTGGCTTCAGGTCTGATACAGTGAAAATGTTTTTATTGCCAATGCACACCTTCTGAATGTCTGACGCTTTAGGTTTGGCTGCGTACGCCCGTGAGATCTTGTTGCTCGTGAGGCCTCGGTCCTTGCCAAAACCATTGTCAGAGGGAACAAAGCCAAAGTGCACAAAGTCAAATGGGCTGAAGTCTCTTCCGGGCTTCGGAGCAAGCATGAAAGCATCATCAGTGCTCATTTTAGCCTCAGCAGCGCACATGCTCTTGAAATTGTGCTCCTTGTTGATCACCACGCAGTACTGCACAGGCTGACCCATCAGGGAGCCCGTTGGCGTCGGCTTCCAGGCCAGAGTGACGGTGGTGCGGCCCAGTGCGGTCACATCCACACGGGGGTCGTAGGGCAGCTCCGGGTAGGGCTGGTCAGACTCTGGAGTCGTGGTGGCGTACACCTTGAAGTTGCTGTCTTTCTCAGTGGACAGCAGCTCCAGCTGGTAGAGACCAGAAGGCGTACTGGTGGCCACATAGGACTCCACGTCGTTACCCTTGTAGGTGAAGAGCTCCGTCCCCTCATCCACCGTCACCTGCTGCTTCTGTTGGTCCAAAGGTTCAGGCTCTCCTGGAAAGCAAAAGCAAACAAGCACAACATGAGCTCTTTGCACGATACGAAATCCAAATGGATTTTTCCAGCTTTGATAAATATCTGTAGTCATGACCTTTACAGTATTTTTCTTATTTGTCTTTGATGAAAGACTTTCCAGCCAAACTAACAATGTTTAATGATATGAGGTCATGATGATGCTTTGCGAGCCTCATGGACGATTAGCCCCCTCACAAGGCAGCCATGTTTTCACTCCAAACATCCCCAAAGATCACAGGCCAGCATTCACTTGGCTTTTCCGGGGAAGTTGTGCTACAAAGAGGCGCCTTGTAGTTTCTACGTGAGAGAGACAGTCTAAGCTGTTACCCTGGCTTGAGCAAGAAACCATAATATTATGTTTGTCAACCAGAGAGTGTGCTCAGTGGTGTACTAAAAATTAATGCTCAAAGATTTACTCCCACTAGAGACATTTAGCAAAAAGGGCTGCAAAGGCAGGAAGAAGTTCACTGGCTGAACCGTTGCTGCACCACATCTTGTGAAGTCAGACTGGCACTGCGTGTGTTGGGTTCAAATTTGTCATTATTCTTCCAGTTCAGGATGAATTCTTTTCTCTTGAGGCACGGTTAATGTCTTCAACAGTTTAACTACCCAATAAATCATTTTGGAATATTTGATCTGACAAGAGCACGGACACACACGCAGGTGCTCGTGTATTGACATTCAAATATATGCTCACATCACACATCTACGCTCGAAACCGCTGCTTTAGTCATCTGGCAAGATCTGCTGTGCTGAAAGGACACCCTCCAGATGGAGAAAGTTTTAATGTGAGGCAGAAAAAAGAAAAAAGAAAAAAGCAGAGGAAAAGAGGAAGGAGCACAGACAGAACAGTAGGATTTACCTTAAGAGGACCAAGACAGCTTAAGTAAAGGGATGCAGCGGCTTTGATTCAGCAGACTGGAGTAACTGAAATTATAGACGTCAGCTTGGGCTGAGGCAGACCTCATAAGTGGTCAGACTAGACACTACGCCTGTGACTTAATTAAAACCCACCAAAACACAAAGCCTAACATCACTGCGTAGGTTAATTGTGTGTGGGGGATAGTGATATTTCCACGTAACATGTCATTAACCTCTTCCACTGTTGCCTGATGTCAATTATACCTGATCCCTCTCCGCTGGCCTCTTCTGGAAGCTCCTGTAGCGTTAGTTTCCACTCCAGAGGAGCATCACAAGGTGTCACGGTCACAGACAGGGGTGTGTTGTCTTCTTCCACCACAAAGTAGTACCTGTGGAAATAATAGGCCCGATATGAGCATTCGAGATTCACAGTTTGTCCAAAATAACGTGTGGAGTAAATGCATGAGCACACTGCATCTGTAAAGCTCAGACGCACTGTGGTATTATTGCACCATCGACCTTGGTCTCTCTCCTTCTGAGCTGTCAGACTTTCTCATCTATTATTTAGTTTTTGCATCAACAAAAGAGATCCTGTTTCAGAGCAACATCTGATGTTTCCTATCTATTTACAGTAAGTGGACATCAACAGGTTGAATGTTTACCTCAATGAGTGTTATGAATCAGTCAGCAGCTCAAGGTGGAATTAACTCATTTTTGCAGCCATGCAGACAGTTCTAATCACCAGCATTATGTCATTCATTCAGTCACAGTTTGTCTGCAGGGTTCCTACCGTTTAGACGTGTCCCTGAAAAGGTAGCCGCTGATCTCAGCTCCGTCTGGTATGACCGAGGAGTCGTGGAACAGCGACTTGTCTCTGATCTGCATCTGAAAGAGGCCTTCATCTCTCGTAGGCAGCTTCTGGGCCACAGATCCGAGCCCCAACAACACCAGCAGCACCGCGCTCCAACCTTTACACTGCCTCATTCTGAAACACAGGGAAATGACAACAGTTTAATATGCAGCACGCCCTAAATAGAGTTTTGTCTGATTTTTAAAAGAGATGGTTTGACATTTAATTAATTTGTTTTCTGGCTTGTTGCTGGATGTAAAGATACCTCTCTGGGATCTGTACAGTAAATATACATCCAGTGGCCAGTTGGCTGAGCCGAGCATAAAGACCGAACAAAGAAAAACTGTTAACTTGGGAATATTCAAAGACATACATGTGCTGTACTTATAACTTGTTATAACTCGTTCAGTTAATCCACACCGTTTTGGGACAATGAAAGCTCACAACATTTCTCTTAAAACCAGCTTTTCATTTTTGCACTTTTTTGTCGCTCTTTTGGCACAGATAAAAACAGAATGTGCTGTATTTTTTTCCTATATGTTAAGCTAACTGACTCCTGGCTCCAGCTTCATATTTAGCATGACGGTGGTATCAATGTCAAAACTTTACTTTAAAGCCAAACATGATATAGAACATACTTTAGAGAAACTGGTAGGCATTTTTAACACTGGACTAAGCAAGGCTAACTGTTTCCCCTTGCTTCTAGAGTAAATGCTATGTTAAGCTAAGCTAATCAACTACTGGGGCAACAAATCTAACAAACATGTTTCCTCAAACATCTGATAGTAAAAGTTGAAATACTGACATTGATAAAAGAAAAATAGTTTCATTTATTTAACATTATGACAGCGCCAGATAGACTGCTTTGACTGTTTCCAGTATTTATGCTATATTAAGCTAATCGCTTGGCTTAATATTTTGCATACATCATGAGATGGTATCAATTTTTTGCTGCCCGCAAGATATCCAATAACATTTTTTCCCAAAATGTCAAACTATTATTTTACAGTTAAACCAAACAGAACTGTATTACAATTGGAGGGAAAACAAAAAGCAAACATTTGCTGGCTTTATTGTTTCCAGCATTTATGCTGTGCTAAGCTAATTGAATTAAGCTCAATATTTAGCATACAGACATGAGATGGTATCAATTTTCTCTGCCAACTCGCCTCAAGAAATCCAATAAAGGTGCTTCTCAAAATATTAAACCACTCTTTTTTTTTCTTTTTTTTTTAAAGTAAAATTCAGATCGTTTGCTTCCATTGTTTCTAGTTTTTATGTTATGCTAAGCTAAATGGCTATGGGTTGCAGCTTGATGTTTAAGTACACAAGCATGAGAGATATCATTTTACTCATCTTCTCAGCAAGAAATTAAATACCAGAATAACTAATTGGTGCTTTAGTGTGCTTTACAAATGAGCATAATTGACTTATTTCAGTTACAATGTGAGCAGAATTTATTTATTTTTTTACAAGGAGGTTCTGCATAGCTTTTTGTAATCTCTCCTTTCATTCTGGCATTGGCTAAAAACACAAAAACTCTCCCTAATGAGTTATAGCTATTTGGCATCCCTTAGTTTTGGCAACATGCATACAGTGTTTTTATGGGATTCTGCTTTAATTTTTTTCCCCGCAACATATTGTATTTCAAGCTAAAATGTGCTCTCTTGCCATGTTTCCCTTTCAGTTTTTGCCTTAATTAACATTTAATAGGAAATCCTGATCACAACACAATCACCATCTGTGAGTGAATCAGAGAGCGAAAGACAAAAAAGTGAAAGGAGTGAATGAGAACCGCGGGCCACAGAGAGAGGAAGGAGGGATTAGATTTAAACAGGAATGTGTGAAGGAAAAGACATTGCTTGGCGCTCCGGGGGAACCACACAGTTTCATAAAACGCTTAATATAAAAATCCCCAAATCCGTGTCATTTAAGTTTTATTGACGCTAATATAGAAATGTTTGGTGGTGCCGGCCACAGTTGGAGCCATGGCTGAGGACGAGGTGCAGCTGAGAGCCTCTCACGTATCCCCTGTCTATTGATTTTGCCCCATTGATTGCAGCTGATGGGAACGCCAAATCCCTGGTGATTTAATCAGTGTAATGATGGCAGATTAGCCAGATACTTTACTGCCATTTACTGCAAGCGAGATGGTGTCCTTTTAATGACCCCTCTCCCTCTCCCTTTCTCCGCTCACCCTCCCTTGTCTGTCTCTTTCTCTTGATCACAGTTTTTCATCAACCAAATAATCTCTTTCACACTTGTGCACACACATCCATCCAATTCGGTTCCTCTTTGCATGTTCCCCTCCTTCACTACCCTCCCTAAGCAGAGACAGATAAGTAAAAACCAGAGGCCCAAATGAATGTCCACACTGCAAACAAACGTCATTTCTACGTTATGATCCGTTAAAAACACAAGCAGGGGGAAAAAGTCCTTGACAGCTCCTGTCAGTGTCTCCGTCTCTGCTGTTGTCTGAGCCCAGCCTCCCGTCGCACCGCCAGACTTCAGAGAGCAAAAGGAAAAGCCGCCTAAGTGGTACTTTGAGGTTTGACTCACACAGAGGGTGGAGATCCTTATCGCCTCAGCTTGTCTCATTCCACTTCAGAAACGTGTCAGTTGGAACAAAGACGTGTCTATTAATACTCAAGACAGCGCTGAGGTGGTATGTGCAGAGCTTCCCAGAGCTGTCTTTCATTCCAACATCCCCAAAACACCACAGAGACACAGCCAGGGCCTCGTCCCCCCAGCCAGCTCTGTCCACCACACTGATGTCATTACACATAATGTCTGCTAGCGCTCGCACAGTCAGGGGTTTTATCACCGCTGTCATTTGCACATTTGATGTGTGCCTTCAATGTGCTCCTCACATGTGACACCGCTGATTTAAACCCTGTGAGCTCTCCAACTCCTGCCACTGAAGCACTCAGTTCCCTCGTCGCAATATACTGTACGCTGCAGGGAGATGACATCTGAATATTGCTGGAGCAGTTGTACTGGGTCACTGCGGTTGCACGGAGCATTGCAGAGTCAACATGGTCACACAGCCTGCACTGGATCTGCTTTTACACGCGGCCCAGCACCATTCTCATGCCACAGAGTTCCCTTACCAAAATAACACAAAAAGAAGAGGGCTGCATCTGGAACAAATAAAGTCTAATGTTTAATTAGAATGGGGAAGAGTGAATGATCGCGATTTGAGGAATGGATAATTTTAAGGCAAAGTCACCCGCAATCGTGTCAACTTTGTTTTGCCGTTGCGTTTTATCTGTTTATTTATATATTTATAGGTTTTTGTTTCACTTTTACTGGGATTTGCCAACTGTTTTGGGTAGAATGTGTTAACTGGCAAACTGCGGAATCAAGAGAGCTGTGTAATAGCATTAAAGGACGAATGCAGCAGTTTACTTTGGAAGAAAATCGTCATGATCTTCCTTCCCATGGCTGTCTACTTGCCACATCTACAATATCAGTCTTAAACAGAAAAAATAAATAAATGCAAGAAAAATGACCCCCACTTCCTCTCCATTCCTGCATAATGTGAGGAATGGCATCCCATCAGTTGAATTTCTACTTTAACAGCTTTGACCCAGCTCTAATTTGGGGTCATTACAAGCAAATCATGTGCAAAGCCAAAACAAAATGTTCACACTTTGTATTTACATCTCCCAGATGGATGCAATCTTTTCAGCAAACTGCTGCAAAATTAAGATCAATCATGATCCGCTGAAGATTAAAGCAAAAAAAAAGTACAATTACATGCAACAATACAATCCGAACTTCCATCCACCTGGTCAGTTCTGTGTGCACGTGTGTGAGGAGTGTATTTCCAGCAAGAACATACTAATTATAAGCTTTCCATGTATGGCAGCGTTTCTGAACACAAGGCGGACTGCGTCCACGCATCCCTGGTTGCGTCGTGCACGTGTGCACGTATGTTCTCGTGCACCAAACTGCCCCTGACCTCCCCTTTCTCCCCTCACTTTGTTTAACCGGCCTCTCCCCTCCTTCCCTCCAGCTCCTTGTCAAGATGGATAAGCCTCCTGCCTGCTGCCACATGGAGCTCATTAACCGGACGGGAGGGGAATAAAAGACAGTTTAATTTCAACACAAATAAAGAGACATTTCGGATTCCACCCAACAAGACGCCTGGCGAGGGCTTCGCAGGACCTGAAGCCTCTGTGTGTTTTCTTTAAGGGGAAGTCTGAAGGCAGATTTATGGTGGGTCCTCGGTAGCGAGCTCCATCACCGCTGTCACTTCAGGGCCAATATGGGGATTGGAGTAAGTCGAGTATATACGGGAGGGGGCCGGAGCCAAGGATGGAACCACACAGGACCTGGACCTGTTCTATAGGCGGGCCAAACCAAATCAGGTCTGGTTCTCTTGGACTGCTTAAACAGCTCATTAATGAATTGGTAGAGACTGTGGTGAAGGCTCTGACCCAAGAATGGAGACTTTTTTTTTTATTTTTTTATCTGGTATGTGCTTCCAAACCATCACATTCCTCCGCTCCACTCTGTGTATAAGTCTAAGTCATCACTCAGGACCTGTCACCTCGCCATCCACAACATCACTCACAGTTTGAGTTTCTGAGCAAAATCCACATCAGCAGAACCACGAAGGCTGGCACAACAGCATCATGGAAAGGAGAGGTTCTTTTTTTTCCCCCCTCCCCTCCCTCTGCATCCTGGAATGCCTCTATGAGGAGGGTCGCTTTCTGCGTTTTCACATAGAATTGAAGGAGAGGAGGGTGGTGGTGGTGGTGTCTCTGACTGATGTGCTGGCATTGTGGCTGCGAGGGGTGATTATAGATTACAAGAGAAAATGCCCCCCTCATGGGAAAGTCATCCACCCACTGCCCATCATCCGGGGCGCACGGGCCCGGGCTGCGTCGTGGGAAATGAGTCAATCATGATCCGTTATGTTGTGCTTGGAGGGAAGCGGGGAGCACAGAAAGCCTGTTCAGCAGCTAGTGCGAGCTTCTTGTGTCCATCTGAGGGAGCATAATGAGGGGCTTTGGAAAGCGAGCGTGCCCCGGGGGAGGGAGAGAGAGAGCAGGAGCGCATGGAGAGGAGTGAGTGTGTGTGTGTGTGTGTGTGTGGATATGATGAATAATTTAACAAGGAAATAAAAAAAAAAAAAAGTTGCGCCCTTAATCTTCCACCACTGACTCTGGATATGTGACAAAAAGGAGGGGGCAGCGCGGAGGAGACTGTAGATACACCGCTGAAGCCTGTCACTTTCTCCAGGACGCAAACGGGCTATAGCAACACTGGCGGAATTCTTTCAGCCGGAGAGTTTTCATATGCAAATCACGGTTTAGTTACGGTATGCGACGCAGACCTTCCCATTTTAAGACTTTTTTCTTTTTTCCTTGTTGTTCATGATTCATTCTCCTGAGAAAGTAGAAGAGGGAGGCAGTGTGGCTTCACCCTGCTGCTAAATACAGTTATTCAAATCCCCACTCCGGGTATGTCTCTCATTAAACACCGACTGAGAGGCTCTCACATGGACCGGATGAGGAAAACAACTCCCAACACGAGCTAAACTGTCATCAATCTGCCTTAGAATTAGTTTAATTAAAGCAAGCGACGCGATGGCAGCTCAAATACATCCACATTTTTCACTGATATTTAAAAAGTACATCTTCATTAGGCGCTCCATTCCGGTCCGATTGGCTCTTACAGGTGCGTAAAAGCACCCGTAAGTGGCAGGACGACGGTAATATTTAGCAAAATTAGATTCCACGTGAAAAACTGAAACAGATAGAAGTGTGTGTGGAGCAAAAAGAAAGAAAACAACACGTGAGGAGTTAGAAATACTGCGCGTATTGATAAAAATCGCCTGTATTGGGTGCCGTGTCACCCCTGGGAGCATGGGAACTGTCCGGATCTCACATAAGCATGAGGATTTTTCCCCCTAAAGTTCATCACCTCTCCGGCTCATACGCAATCCAAAACCCCCAAAAATAACCTAAAATTAAAAACGCATGCGAGTTGAGGCTTGATTGAAATGCGTTTGAAACTTTTAAGTTCCCGGAGTTGTAAAAACCGCAAAAACCTCTCCTTCCCCTTCTTTTCTCTCTCTGGCAGACGTTTCAAAGGCGCTGCTTCACTCGGGGAGTCCGGCTCTGAATTTATAGGGAGCTTTTTTACGCACAAAAATAATAAAAGCTTTAGAAAAGTTAAAGAAAGAATATGAAGTTGTTTTTTTTCTGAATCCCGATCAGGCGCAACCTCTACAAGCCAGAAGTAAAAAAAAAAATCCTGTGGGGTGGAAGAAAAAAAAAATAACCAAAATCTTTTACAGGAGACAGTCTTACCTCTCGGAATATGAAAGCGACGAAGTTATCTGAAGGATGGCGCCTCTTGTTCTTAAAACCACTTTGAGAGAATTTTGCACACACAACAAAAAAGAAAAAAGAAAAAGAAAAGTGCCTTAAAGCGATTTAAAATAGGGGGGAAAAATGAAAACGCACGTTGTCCTCTACAGTGTCCAGTAGTTCCCTCAGTTTTCACTTCTATTGTTGGTGCCTATCAATCGGATTAGGCGACAGCTCTGGTGCGTGTTTGCAGTTTTCTTGCGGATTTAACTGGTCTCTAGTGGGCAGGAGTGTGTGTGTGAGAGTGTGTTTGAGTGGGTATCCCGAGTGCTGGCAGTGCGTCCCTCCCCTGCCGCGCCGCTGCTATTGAAACCTCCACTGGATTGGAGGCAAAACTGGTGCGAACTTCTTCTTCTTCTTCTGCTTCTTCCCTGCGCTCTCAGTAGGACGACTCCAAGACACAGAACCAGCCCACTCCTTCAGCAGCACGCCACAGAGGAAAAAAAAAAAAAAAAAGCATGCACAGAGAGGTTTAACCGGCCCTCAAACTCTAAAAAAAAAAATACACTCAGACATATAAATACTTCAGAGTATGTTGCTGAATGCAGACAGTCAGATGCAACCAGAGACAGCGGGGTTCCCCCTCATACTTTTTTTTTTTTGTTAATTTCCAAGCTGTTTACTGTGATGCTCCCTGGAAATTATTAGTTTGGGCAGTAGCACCCTGCTGAAGTCACGCAACCCCGGAGGCTTTATAGTGCAGGCAAGTTTTATCATGGGCCCTGGGTGCGCAAAGCATGATCATGACAGGCTGAGCAACGAAAGTGGTGACGAGAAACCTCTCCTTCATGTGTCACACAGGACCTCAGCAAGACAACAACTAGAAAAGTTTTTACTGATCAGCTGTGGAAATCCCCAGTGAGCCATTTACTGGTTTTGTTGTCTGTTCCTGGGTTGGTGCAAATATTTATCCAAGATAAGCGCCATTGACTGTCTCGGAACTGAATTGCCCCCCACTTCCAAAAAAAAAGAAAGAAAAAAAAAACATTTATGGCTTGATGGGTGTCCGTGACTGACGAGCGGGCAATCTAGATTTTAGAGGATGCTGCCGCTTCCTGCTGTTTCCGCCCCTCGGGAGGACCGTCTTTCATGTCGGTATCTGCAGATTTGCACGCATGAGAGGCTGCAGGTTGCACGTAGGAAACGCAAAGACATCTTCATATACAGCTTAGACCAGGCTCAACATCAGCTTAACCAGTTTGCTTATGTGTTTGCATACATGACAAGTTGGGTTCTCCAGTTTGGTAAAAAGCATCCACACTTTGGATGATGTGTGTAGAAAGCAGGTAAATGAAGACAAAAGGTAAAGACACATTGTCCAACATACAGATCTGTATTCCAAATTATTTTGATTTGGAAATATTTCTAGATTTATTCGCCATTCATTATCAGCATAAATGTGTTGGGCTGCAGATTTACACTGATAGAAATGTGTTGGGTTGCAGGCTGCTGGCTGTGAATCTGGACCAAGTGTTGGTACAACAGCGTCATCTAGTGTTTGCCAGAACGAGGCCACAGAGGACAGGGTGCAGATATCAAAAGGGAAAACTAGGGGTTTTTTATGTCCTGCACAAATTTACAACAAGAAATGTGATTTTTTTTTCTTTCTTTTTTCCAGATGTCTGCAGAGGGCACATTTGCAATAAGAGTGGAAGCTTAACCCACACTGTCCACAAACAGTTCCTTTATAGTATCACTTATATGAACTTCCATGTGTTTTTCTCTTGCATATAGATCAGGGATTTCTGATAAATATGCACACGTAACCTACACACAGGTACGTGTGTGTGGGTCTGTGTGTGGTTTATCGATGCCTGGCTTTATGATTAGTGCTGCTGTGACTCCCACATCCTCCAGATTGAACTAGATGCCAAATTGGAGCTGCTATTAGCCACACCACCAAGCTGTGAAAACCAATCCACTCCGGGGACATGTATATTCACAATAACCCAGAAACACACACACACAGGCATGCACACACACACACAGGCGCTGACCCAGCTACATGCCAGAATCCTGAAAATGAATCCACACCAGGGACAGTTTAGTAGTCTACAGATGGAGGGTGGAGGGGAATAAGGAGGTGGGAAACGCTCCTGTAATACTAATTCCTGCACTGTTCCGCTGCAGAGACTAACAAATCTCATTTTAACAGGTTTGCTGAAATATTTGCACACAGAACACATTTTTTGGGCTGTTTAATGTTTCAGAGAAAGTCAACTGAGCCGCTCTTAATCCTTGTTTCACACTTATGTACAGTACATACAGTACATCCAACTCAGGTCACATTCAGTATAACACTGGTGGAGTTAACGTCTCATCTGTTTCATCAGACATTTGTTTTTGTCTAATTATCAGATAACAATGTATGGCCGAGATTATCAGCCTAAACCAAAGCATTTGACAAATGTAAATGTTCTAATGTTGATGGTCGAGGAAAAGTTGTTGTGGGTCAACAAAATCATTATGATTGATCCTCTGGGGAACCAGAATGTCATAATTTCTTAGAAATCTCCTCAGTAGTTGTAGAGATCTTTAAGACCACAGACAGATTATGAGGCTCCCACAACCTTCTATATTGAAGCAAGGCATGTAGACTGAAAGAGACATAAAACAAACAACATGAATGTGTTCCAACAGTCTTTGATGAAATTTGTGGTCATTTTGAGACTCTTTACTATGGTTTTGTACCAATTTGTGCTTATTTTTGTCAATTCTTTTGGTTATTTTGTGTCTATTTTATTTTATTTTTTTGCTTTCTTTTATTTCTTTCAATACATTGCCCTATGATTTTTCTTAAAATAAATCTGATTAGGGTCACAGTACTTTCTTTAAATTGTTTTTTTTAATACATACTTTTATTTCATTGCCCAATAAAAATAATATTCAATTTTATATATGCTGTTGTGTCCAATATCTTATTGCTTTGTAACTTTCTCTGGTTGCTTTTAATCTCTTTGTGGTTGTTTTGAGTCTTGTTGTCATCGTTTGGTGTCATTTGAAGTCTGCTTATAATTGCTAATAGTCATCCTGAGTGTTTTTGCTAATGGTTTGAGTCATCTTGTGTCTATTTTTTTGTCCAGTCTCGTGAAATTTTTAGTTGTTTTTTTATAGTCATTCTGAGCCTTTTTTCTGTTTTAAGTTATTTTGTCTCTTTTCAGTTGTTTTGAATCTCATTGTTATAGTTTGATGTAATATTTAGAGTCTTTGTAGTTATTTATTATCATTCTGAGTCTCGTTGTTATTTTGAGTCTTGTTATTATTGTTTCATGTAACATTGAGTCCTTACAGTTTTCTGAGTCTCTGTCATTGTTTTGAGTCATTCTGAGTCTCTTTGCAGCTGTTTTGAGTCTCATTGGCATGGTTTTCTGTAATTGTAAGCCCCTTTGTAGTTGTTTATAACCATTTAGAGTCTCTTCGTCATTGTTTTCTGTAAGTTTAAGTCGCACTGTAGTTTGTTTTTTTATAACCATTCTTACTCTCGTTTTCATTGCTTTGAGTCATTTAGTGTCTCTTTTTCAATGTAATGAGGAAGGTTGTCATAGTTTTGCATACCTTTAAGTCTTTTTGTAGTTATTCATAGTCATTCAGAGTCTCTTTTTAGTTGTTTTGAGTCTGTTTGCCATAGCTATGAATAATTTTGAGTCCTTCTGTAGGTATTTATAGTCAGTCTGAGTCTCTCTGTTCGATTGAGCCATTTGAGTGTATTTTACTACTATTGAGTCTCGTTGTCATTGTTTTACATAATTCTCAGTCCCTTTGTTGTTCTTGTGAGTCCTAATTGTTTTGAGCATCCTTTGGTGTCCCTCTGTCATTATTTCATGCCTCTTTATGGTGGTTTGATTGACTAACAACAACAGTCACTTTAATAAGAGTCTCTGGACCAGGGCCCCGCTGACTTTTTGGGTTTCTGGACCTGGATGGATCATTAAGTAACATGCTAAGGACCAAAGCGATGGTTTGACCTTCTGATGGACCGTGCTGCGTGTATGGCCCAAAGAAAAAAGTTCTGGAGATTACCCAGACGTTTCTGTAAAGACACTGACCTACATTGAAGCGCGATTCTTTGAGAAATCTGACATTTCATCCAAATGTAATGAAAGCAAATAGTAGTCACTTAAAATCAGACAGCAATATGTCTTACTCACAGGTGGTGGTAAATGAGGAAAATGTATTTGTAAATGTGAGCGAACCAAGCTGTTATCCAAGTAATCTTGATCCTCACCAGTGATTAATGGTTTATTATCAGTGTGAACCGTTGGGAGGCTGACTTGTTTGCTTTTGGATATCAAGTCACCCACTGAGGCAAACTAGTTTTCCATCCTGATTGTCTGTTTGCAACATAAAAACGTCAGCAGCTGGTGTTCTATTACATTTCCAGCTAATATGTCACACTGAGGGTTTGTAATGAAAACCAGTGTCCCGGCTTTATGATTTAGGAGAAACTTTGCAGTATATTTGCGGCTTCGAGATGTTTGCAGGTCAGTCCTGAACAACAGATGCATGCTGAGAGTCATTATCAGTCTGTTTGCTTTGGGGGATAAGTCTGTCACTGACTGTTGCCTCACCTAACTGATCTCCTTACACCTCCCTGGCGGCTCAGGTAATCCATTAATCCAGGGAGGATGGAAAGTAATATCATATTGGACTGAAATGCATTCATATGATGCTGAGCGGAGCCTGGGAGGTGTAATCTGCATCACTCACCTCACATCCATTTAAACGCCGTGTGAGAGGTTGCATCCATCACGGCTGCTGAGAAGAAGGACGACTAGCTCTGGCTTTTAGCACTCTGCCTACTTAATACTGAGTTCATCATTAACTCACCAGAGCTGAGAGCCTTCGCCAGACAAACATCCTCTCTGTAAACATCTCTCCCCGTCATTTTTCCCCCTCTCTCTTGTGTCTAGTTGAGGGGTTCGAGGAGGACAAACAACGTGTGAACTGTGACCTCGGCCCGACTTTTCTGGCGGATGCACCGGTTGAAGTATTGCAATATTGAAGGCATCATCCCTGAAA